TACTTCCCAAGCAATTTGTATTTGGTTCATGAACTCTTTGCCTACCCCTATGTCTCCAAGATTTCTACCGACCTTGTCTTCCAGTCAATTTAGTGTTTCTGTTTTAATATTTAGACCTCCAACCCATTTTGACTTTAGTGCATGGTGATACACGGGGGTCTAGTTTCAGTCTTTCATATGTGGAAAGCCAATTTTTCCAACACCATTTATTAAAGAGGCTAACCTTCTTCCAACGAACATAAAACAATGTGTTTTTAAGAATTCACTAATAATTTTACCTCTGTTTTCATGTAGAGATCATTTGCAAAAGTTCATTTATAGACATCAACTTCTCCAACAATTTTGGAGAAAGAATGCAGAGCTCGGTAATGGAGAGGAGGGTAAGAATACTTACGAAGATTGCTCTAGAGACTAAATGAGGTGATACCCAGACTTTAAGAAAAACATGCTGTGTGGCTATGCCTTGGAAATAGCATTGCTTCTTATTTTATTTGAATGTTGCTCTTTGGTTATAAACCCTTCAGATGTATGTGGGTGATTCTTATGCTCTCTGTTCTGAAAGCAGTTCTATGTAAGGGAACTCTGACGGGACACATTTAAATTCCTAGCCGTGATCAGTTTGATGAAATGTGGCATTTTGTCCCAGCATCCATGAAATAGTTGCACCTTTACTCAGGGACAATCTAGAGAGTTTTTGAACATAGTTCTAGATGTGTGCGGAGAGGGAAATACTGATAGCTTATCAAGAATTTTCTAATTAAAAATCTGATTTAAGAACACTGCACTGGGAAAGATTCAAGTACTCAGACACAAGCGTGCTTCCTCTCTGTGACACCTGAGATCACCGAATTGCCTTGCAGTTACATCAGCAGAGAAAAGCGGCGTGACAGAGGCCCGTGCAGGCCCTCTCAGCAATCTGGCAGCGATTCGTAGCATAGTAACGCACCCATCACCGCCGTGAGTACTGTAGCTGCAAGCAGGTGCGCCTGCCGAGCTTCACACGTTTCCATGGATACACGAATTTCAGCGCTAAAGCACATTCCCTGTCGCTTTCCTTGTCACCAAGAGCCCTGTAAACACTTGTGCTTTAAGATTCTGTGCTGAAACTTAGCATTTTATGGAGGAAAAGTCAGAATTACTTTTTCCCAAAAGTGCCGTATGATTTTTCCATAAAATCCCTGAAATCATTTATGCCTGTGGTCTCCTTTTAGTGACGTGCTTTCATTTTTAGACTGCTAAAATGTGATACAAGCTTGATTACATAGTACCAGGTTCAAGTGACTATATATAGATATAATATGTGAATGTGACAATTAATAAATAGGAAAACTTGCTCTGAATTTTAAAATGGAGACAAACGATAGCAAAAACAGGAGTGTTATTTGTATATTTAAGTCAGTTTATTCCTAAATATGGTGAAATTTAAGTGTCATTTTCAAAGTTACCCTTGTGTTATATTTACATTTGTAGATTAAGATTACTCTTTCTAGTATATTAAGATATGTACATTGACATGAATCTGCAAGGACGATAGGCCACATATATTTTTTTCAGTTTTTCAAGTTTCACATATTACAGTCTTGAGGCTCAGAAAGTTTATAAGGAATTGGTTCTACAACCTACAACCTGAGCCAGCAGGTAGCAGAACCTACGAGTCCTGTTTTATTGCCCAGGACTTTTTTTACGGCCTTTTTCCTGCAGAATGCAGGCTGCATCTACAGAAAAACCACAAACGTCTTTTCTTTGGCTGGTACAGGTAGATGTCTATGCCTCTGATCTGGACTCCACTAAATCATTGTCTCCTCCATCCATCTCCCTACCTGCTCCAGAGCCAGGCACAGTCATTTCCCAGGAGCAGAGCCAGGGACATCACCGAGCCTGAGTGTGTACTGCTCACAGAAGCTGTGAGCCAGCTGATCTCTAAGTGCAGCTGCAATTGCCTTGGCTAAGAAGGTGAAAAGCAGGATGAATGAGAAGCTTCGGCAATTTGTAAGAAGAAAAAGAAACCAATCTAAATAGACTTATTTCAAAAAGCTTGAACTTTAACAGTATGGATTTTGGACGCCAAGGTTTGAACTATTCGGTTGATTATGCTGATGTAGCCAACAATCTCCATGTTACCTGGACATGTATCTCAGGGAAGGCCATGAGATCTTTCCAAAGATGCTTTTCACACTAGGTCCCTCCACCCCGTATTTGGATAGGTCTTTTACTTTTGTGGGGGTGTTTTTGACACTATTATTCATGAATGTATTTTCACTTCTTGCTCTGTTTTCATTTTTTAGTGCTGTTTTTAATAAACAGAGAACAGTTGTATGTGGTTATGGAGTACAGTTTGAAGTTTTAGTACACCTAAGATAATATATAACACAGAATAATCAGTGTAGTTAGTATAACCGTCCCCTCATACATTGATTATTTCTCTGTGGTGAGACCATTCTATAAATATTCACTAGAGCATGTGTGTGTGTGTGTGTGTGTGTGCACATGCACGTGTGTGGGTGTGATTTAATTTAAAAGGGCTTTAAGGCTGAGAGTACAGCTCAGTGCAAGAGAGCACACTTAGCATGCAGAAGGCCCTTGGTTCAAGCCCCAGTGCTGTAAAACAAACAAATGAATAAATCAACACATGTAAGACTTTTACAAGGCTTGACCTCCACTCTAACCCAGAAGGCGATGAGAGCACAGCTCCAGGTCTCAGACTTCCCAGCAACTGCCAGGACCTGAGCACACACAGGATATGAAAGTGCTTTGCTGATTACAAGATATCCACACACGCGCCAAATCTATACAGGGTCATTGTGAGGTCTAATATCACACAGTGCCAATTGTTTTTCATCTCTGTGCATTAAAAAGGCAAATAATGGTTCTTGTTCCCTCTTCATGCTTTGGGGAGAAAGTGGACTTTATCCAAGGACAAACATGACTGGATAATCTCTATTATGGTTATTTCAATATGGTTCAACCCTTGCAACTCAAGTAGACAACAACCAAATGAACTATCTACATGCTGCTTCCCTCACTGTGATAGCCAAAATACTGGGGACTGGTTTTCTGGCTGTTATCTAACATCTGTTCCAACCACAAACTGTGCACAACCCAGGACATTAACCGCTCCAGATTCAGATAAAACTTATCTACCGCTGCCCTGGCCTAACTCCTCGTTCTTTCTGAATGGAAGTGTTGATTCTGCACTATTCCTCCACAGAGTACCGCGGTGTGATCAACTGTCTCTCCCATCTACAAAAGGAAGGAAAATTCAGCTCTGCTGTATTACCAAGCTTTCTGTTTTTCCTATAAATTCCATCTAAGCACTGAATTGGATTTGCTCTTAAACAAATGCATTTTTATCTATACCTGGCAGGAATCTAGAACTAAAATTACAAGATTTATTCCCTTTTAATTCTATTACGAGGCATTTAATCACAAATACCCTCAAAATGAAAAGACAATTTATCATTTTGCCCTGACTGAGCAACTCTCTTCAAATTCATGAATCTATAATCCAGGGAGGAGACTGGATGATTAAGTGTCCGATTAGAGAAAACAGATTAACCTGGCAAACATAATAAATTTAGCTCATAAGCAGGATGACTTTATAAAGGCTCTCAATAACTCTCCTGTATAAAACCATGAACCACTTCCTTCCATGATGACTCAATTGAAATAGTCGAGATACATAAAGCAAATTCATGTTTATGGCTCTCGCTCTCTCTGGGGTGTCAAAGAGGTATTTAAAGGCACAACTTACTCAGTTCATAACTCTAAATACATACTAAATAGGGGCCCAGTAAGAAAAAGCGGTAACTTGTAAAAAAAATAATAATAAAGCCATAACCTCTCCAATGTTCTAGTTTCCACTTTGCTAAAGATATCTGGATTCTAAATGCTTTCAGTTTCCTTCTGCAGACTTGTGGTACCTTTCCACAGGTACCAAAGCCAGACCTCAAATTTCAGGTCTTGTACCCACACCCTCTGTAGAAGACTCAGTGATTCCTTCATAGAGACAGCTGTCTGTACACACAGCTCTTCTGCCATTGTGAACAATCTATAAATTAATGAGCTGTTAGTTGAGAGTAGAAATTTAGGTTATGACTGGTTTCTTACTTAGCTGGTTAGTATTCCTGACCTCTGTCTGTCTCCCTCACTCTCCCCTTCTCTCCCTGCCTCTCTCTCTCTCTCTGAAAAAGGATACTCCCTGGGCCACCGAGTTATTTTTAAACTCACATGGCTGTATTCCTGGACACTTCTCCCAGCCTACCTGGCCCGAAAGAGATTCCGTTGAGCCCTGGTTGTCACATGCACCTGAGTCACACTGAATAAGTGTTCTGTCCCATTGTGTGTCACTCTGTCACCAGAGCTCCAGCATGGTTTTGGGGGCAGGGCGGGGTTGTGGGAAGGGGAGTCTTTCTTTAGCAAAGGCAACATCCTGTCCTAGCCAGGTGAGTTTCTCAACATGGGAACGGAGGTCTAGGGGCAGCAGGACCCTTCCTGTACCCCTCCTGCGTTTCCTCACTCTGTGTGTATGTATGTAATGAGGTCTTTGCTGTTTTTGTATTTTAAGTCACTCTGCCTCTCACCCTTTGCTAAGGTAAAGACCGAGCTACCTTTTTGGGGTGCAGTGACCAGGATCTCTTTCTCCCTGAGGGATTTAGTGTACAGCCAAATTGCCACTCCTGATGTGTATTCCTGATAAGCGCACCCTAACTGTGCTGGTTTCAACAACCACAGCGACTAGCACAGCGTCTGAGGCCGTAAGAGTTTGGCGCAGGCAGGCTCCAAAGGCCGAGAGGGCGCCCGGGGTAGCGCTCGGATGCTCCGGTGGCGTGCGCGCGTGCCAGGGCAGCGCCGTGGGCGGCTTGCGCGGGCGTGTGTGCAAGGGCACGCGAAGGTGAACGCGCAGGACGGCAGGCTGGGGCCCAGGGCGGTGCAGGCCGAGCCTGGCGTCCGTGCCCTCGCGGGGCGGAGCGTCCCAGCCCAGGCCCAGAGCGCGCCTGGTCCCGGCGGAGAGGCCGGCGGTGCGCGCGCCCGGGCTGGCGTTGGCGCTGGAGGCGGCACCCACGGGGCGATCCGGGCGATCGCTGTGGCTTTGGCCTCTCCCGGTGTCGATGGAGACTCTGTGGCCGCTAGCAGCAGGGTGAGGCCCGGGACCCTCGCAGCTGTGGTGGGGTGCGGGAAGGCGGCCTGGGCTCAGGGTAGGTAGGGGTCAAGGAACCTCTAGGTGTCTGAACCAACTGTGAAACAGGAAAACTAAGTCGGTGAGAGGTACGGGGTCCAGTTCAACTTATTTACAAAATACTGAGTCCACAGGGAAAAACTGGTGTCTCCAAGTCACAGGCCTGATGGGGTAGAGGGGTACTAGAAGCCCAGCCTGTTTGTCCAGGCTTTTTATTCCTGCTCTCTCCTCTGAAGGGAAGACGAAGAGTAATACGAGTGATTAGTGTTACCTTGGATATTGGAAATCCTGGTGGTGATACTACTTTGACGTTCAGCGCCATGGAAACCAGTCCTGTGCTGGAAAAACTCAGCCATGTGTCCTCCCCAAGCCTGAGTATCTCGTTTCTTCATCCATTAAACATTTGCACTGCAGTTAGCTGTGCAGGGTGCTGTGCTAGAAATTGAAGGACTAGAGACAAACAAGCACCAGCCCCCTGTTGGGGGGCAAAAAGCCCCCAGATAGCCTGGGATTTTAGCTCAGTGGGACAGGCGCCTGTCTGGCAAGGGCAAGGTCGTGAGTTCCATCCCAGGGACAAAAAAAAGTCCCCAGACAGCAGTCACTGACAGCAGGTGTAGGGAGTGGGATGACCTACCTCTACAGAGCATTCGCTATGCAAGCTCAGTGGATGTCCTGCGAGACCTAGGCAAAGATTTGACACCTAACCTGGATTGGGGAGCAGAGAGTTTTCTGAGAATGGAATTGAAATCCAGGGCCTTCACACTGAGCTACACCCTATGCTTGCTTTTGTTCACCTCCTAATCTTGGATTGCAGGATCCACTTCTTACCTGGATCTTTGAGAGTAGAGCATTTGGCGATGTTTGGAAGTGGCCATTTCAGGTAGAAGGGTCATTGTTTGACAACAAACAAACTCCAAAAGAGACAGCAGAATCACAGCAACAGCCTCCATGAGTATGAATCCCCACGACTACTTTGGTTTGCCTAGAATGGAGGGGTGAATAGAGGTCAAGACTATAGAAAGGGTATTATGAGTAGAATACTAGTCATTTTCCTGTCCTGGAATATAATATCTTGACACCCACAATTTAAAGGAGGAAAAATGTATTTTGGCTCATGCTTTTAGAGATTTCACTCCCTGGGTTGATGACTTCGAGGCAGAAACAGCATGGGGAAGGTATGTCGACCAGGAGGCAGAGAGCGGAGGCAGAGATAAGAATCCTCCTGCCCGTTTATATTCCCAGTGACCTGCCTCTTTCCACCAGGCTCCATCTCCATGAACTCATCTATGGCTAAGTCACTAATGAGTATAGAATCACGGTGATATAACCACTTTCAAAAGCACTACCTCTGAACATATGAGATGTTCGAGAGATAGTTAAATAAACCATAGCAGGTTGTCAGTGGTGGGAAACTCAAAACAAACCACGACAGTGTTGTGGCTGAGGACAGATAATCAGGCCCAGAATGCAACTCTGACATGTACAATCGGAGTGTTGGACCAAGGCTCTGTGTAGCCTGAGTGTCTGAGGCCTTAGCCAGTCTTGAAGCACAGGGTTTCTTCATGGAAGCAGGACAGTGGGTGAAAGTTGCCGCTACAATAGGAAAGTGTCCTATGGAACTGGGGGCTGTTGGACAAGGACGAGGCTCTGATTGCTTATTTTGGTATTTCTGATATCTAATAGTGATCGTAAGAGTATTTGGTAATGATGTGCTCCTAGATACTCCACATCAGAGGTGGCCTCTTGGGCATGAGCTTGTCCTTGTGTGTACAGGGAGCACTTATTTCTTTTGCTGCATCCTCAGGGTCCAAAACGGAACTATAAACAGAATAATCTGTTCTGACAATTGAAATGGGAAATTTCTCATACAAAGATTAGGACTTACCTTTGTATTACTCTATTATAAATAATTCATACAATACTGTGCAAGTGAGCTGTGAAAATGAACCATCTTTATGATGAACTGGAACCCACGAGAAACCAGACCACACATTGTACACGGGAAGGAAGCTTTATTGGGCAGGGGGCAGATCAAGACAGCCTTTGTTTGCCTTGGAAAAAGAATTTTTAAGGATTGTTCGTTCAGGACAGGGTGAGGGGCTCTGTCGGTGAGCCAAGTGTGAGCAGTAGATTGTGACAGAGTTTGTCATCCGGTACCTTCCTAGGTGAGCTGATTTTTGTGGTTTTTGAACAGTTCAGGGAAGTTTCTTTTCTTGCAACCCAAGCATGAACAGGCTCCGAAGACTGGCTGACCCTTCACTTTACCTTAAAGATGACACACAGAGATGGTGGTGGAGGACTTTATAAACCTATCTTTAATTGGCTCTGTGTTATCTCCATCTGTGCCTGGAGAACTTGGTCTAGGTAAATCAGCTGGATCAAGTGGACCTGTAACACCCATTTGCCTCAGGTCTGTCTGGGCACCATGCAGATGCTTCTAGCCCTACCTTGACACTCAGTGAGTGGGAGAGAAGCAGAGATCCCTCAGCAAGTCTCCACTGCTCATTTACTCTCTGTTTCTGCATGTGAATGTTTATGTGAAATCCGTATTTGTGTGCATCTGCCCTTTCTTCATGTAATGGGTAAATGAGGAGAAAAGATGAGATGTTTAGTAGCAATTCCTTTAGTGATGCTGTTCATCTGTGGTATCAAGAAGGACCATGAAGCCTGGAGTAAGAAAGTTGACCTGAAATTGATTACCAAGCTTGTTCCTGTACCATATATTTTTATGTCTGGTTCTTAACTAATCAGAGTCTCTGTTCCCTCGTCTGTAAAACAGTGATAGTAATAATCAGTTCAAAATTGTTAACAAGGATCATGCATGTTATCTTTTTATAGGCACATCCCTCCCATCACTTCCTTATCTCCTGGAAATTCCTGTATTTCATTTTTATATTTTATAACTTTGTCCTTTCAAGAATGTCACGTGGTGGAATCACAGACCATGCAACCTCACTATATTTCTCTTGAGATTCATTAAAGTTTTGCACTTATTAATAGCTTGTCCCTTTCTGTTTCTTAGTAGTATTCTATGGTATACCATCATCAGTGTTTTTATTAACATGCATTAATCTTATTAATAGGGTGCAGTGTGATATTTTCAAACACGCATACAATCCACCATGATCAAATCCAATCACTAATTATCCACTCACACCCCTGCACATGTGCCTTTTAATCTCCATCCATCACTAGTGTGCTTTCAGGTCTACTTTTTAAAAGTTACACATGGGAGAGAAAACACCCAATACACTCTACTTGTCTTTATGTGTCTTGCTAGTCTTATTTCTTGTTATTAAGATTTTTATTTGTTCTAGATATCTTCCCATGTCACATGCATAGGGTGCAAATATTTTCTCACATTCTGTGAGAAGTCTCTTCACTGTTGTTTCCTTTGCCAAAGCTTTTGAATTTGATGGAATCCCATTGGCATATTCCTATATTTATTCTCTGTGTTTTTGCTTCTTATGTGTTAGATGTCCCATATAGAAAACAATTCCCTGGAGCAGGGAGATGGACCACAACTTGAGTTCCAAGGTTGTCATTGACTGCCTACATGACTTTAGGTCTGGCCCTTAACTCATCCGAATATCTCAAGGTATTCTTCCTATTTTTATTATAGTAGATTCAAAATTTCAGGTCTTACATTTGGGTATTTGATTTGCTTGGAGTTGACTTTTTATAGTGTGGGAAATTGGGGTCAAGTGTCAAGCAACTGCATGTGGATATCAAGTTTTCCCAGTCGTATTTATGGAAATGTACTCTCTCTTGCTGAGGATTCCCTCGGTCACTCAGGGGTCTGGGTTTCCATAGGAATATCAGTATTGCCTTTTCTAGTTCTGTGAAGAATGTTATCAGTGTCTTGATGGTTATTATATTTTATCTGTAGGTCACTTTGGGTAGTATCCATATTTTAATCTATCAATTCTTCTAGTCCCCTAATGTGGGAAACCTTCGTTGTGTTTCTCATTCAATTTCCCTTACCAATGTTCTGTAATTTTTAGTGTGCTGGCCTTTTACTTCCTTGGTAAAAATATCTATTATATTTAGATATTTTGTGGCTGTTGTGAATGAGATTGCTGTATTGGCAGAGAGAAAAGCTACTGATTTTTCCATATTGATTTTTTTTTACACTTTTTTTTTTCTTTTTATCGGTGGGGATCGAACTCAAGACCGCCTGCTTGCAAGGCAGGTGCTTATGCCACTGAGCTAAATCCCCAGCCCCCGACTTTTCTATATTGATTTTTTATCCTGCTACTATGCTGGATTTATTTTCAGTTCTAATAGTGTTTTGGTGGACTCCTGGTTCTTCTATATATACAAATATGTTATCTGTATCAGGGATAATTTTGCTTCTTCCCTTACTAGATGTATCATTTTTATTTTTTTCTGTTGCCTAATTGTCCTATAGTAGTACTATATTGAATGAAAGCAATAAGAGTGGCCATGCCTTATTTTGTTCCTGATCTTAGTAGAAATGCTTGCCGCTTTTCCTCATTCAGTGCCATATTGGCTACAGGTCTGTCATAAATAGGATTTATGAAGTTGAGGTACAGTCCTTCTATAACTCATTTGTTCAGAGCTTTTATCACAAAGAGACGTTGAATTTTACCAAATGTTTTTCTCTATTCATATGGTCATATGATTACTTTCTAGTTTGTTGATATGATGTATTACATTTATTGACTTGTGTATGTTGAACTATCCTTGAATTCCTGCCATGAAAGCAGCTTGAGCATGATGACTGATCTTTTTAATTTTCTGTTGAATTTCATTTATTAGCATTTTGTTGATGAATTTTGTATCTATATCCATCAAGGGTATCAGTGTTCACTTTGTTCTTGTTGTGTCTTTGATTTTGTTAACAGAGAGATACTGGCATCATAAAATAAGTTTATAAAAGCTTCCCTCTTTTCAATTTTCTAGATTAGTTTGAGAAAAATTGATATTCATTATTCTTCAGAAGTTTTGATACTATTTGCCAATGAAGCCGTCTGGTCCTGAGGTTTTCAATGATGAGAAATGTTTTATTACTGGTGAAATCTCCTATTTGTTATTAATCCATTCAGGTTTTTTTTTTTAATCTTCATGGTTCAGTTTTGTTAGGTTGTATTTGTGGAGATATTTCTCTGTTTTTGTTAAATTTTCTGGTTTGCTAATATATAAGTATTCATATTAATCCCTAATGGTTCTTTACATTTCTGTGATAGCTGTAATGCTTCCTTTTTCAATTCTAATTTTATTTGTTTAGGGCGTTTATTTTTCTTGATTAGTTGAACTAATGACCTAATAGGTTTTTTGTTTTGTTTGCTTTGTTTAGTTTTGTCTTTATGAATTATTTTTTTATTTAAAGAGGAAAAAAGCAAAAAAGAAAAAAGGGTAGAAACACAGAATTTCAAAAAAATAATGTCAAGAAGTGTCACTAGTTGATAAATTACATATTGTCATCTTAGAATTAGTTGTTCAAGTCACAAAATTAAAGTATAGAAAGTGGACAATCAATGAGAAGTTATCTGCATTCAACAAAAACAAGGATGAAAGTAAAAAAGATGGATTTCAATAAGCAAGAATGCATCTCAAAAACTTATGAAATGCAAAAGAAATCCTAAAGATAGGAGCAAAGACAGATGAAATACTTACTTGAAAAGAGTAAAACAAGGTGGCCCCATTTGAGACTCCTTCTGTCCCTCTGAGTCTTGTGGTGCTGGCACCTTGGAATTTTGGGGAATATGTGAAATCCTCTTCCAAGGTAAAACTAATGTGCAGATTTCAGATTATTTATGTAAGTGAGCTTCACGTAGTGGCTAGGATTATCAGTGTCTGTACTAACACCGTTTCTGATGTTCATGCTTTCACTCGTACCCCCGCAGAGGGGTGAGTCCCCTTCCTCTAGCAGCAGAACCAGTGAGAGATGCCAGGGATGCTTGTTTTTATCACTATGCTGTTAGTTTAGGTCTCTGAATTCTTCCAGGTTTTTAGTTCTCTCTCTTGCTGTTTTCCCATGGTCTCTAACGGTCACTCGTCTCAAAATGCAATTGCACACCTATGACACTGGTTCTTCTGTGTGGATGAGGTGAGGTCTGAATACTTCCAGTCATTTTAATTTTGAGAGCACACTGTTTTATAATGATTCACGGTTGCAGTTCAGCTCAATTGCTCTTAGTTTGGGGATATAATATAAAATAAATAAAACTACCATAAAAACTTGTGTACAAGCTTCTGGATGAGCATGTTTCTGCTGCCTTCATCCTCTGTGATTAAAAACCTAGGAGTGCAATTACAGAAACCTATAGTAATCACGAGGTAACTTTTTAAAGAAATTATGGAATCATTTTTGGATTGGCTATGGCATTTTCCATTGCCACAGGCCATGAATGAGTAATGCAGTGACTGCATGTCCTTGCTAACATTTGGCATTACTACTATATATTTTTTTATTTCTAGTAAGTGTGTAGTAGCACCTCACTGTAGTTCTAATTTGCATTTCCCTAATGACCAGTGATGTTGTACATGGCTTACCTGACATTCTGTGTGATTTTTGGTGAAATGTACGTTCATGTCTTTTGCCTACAGTGTGATTGTATTGTTTGTTTGTTTTCCCCTGTTGAGTTTTGATAACCCTTTATATATTTTAAATACTGGTGCTAGCTTTTGGAGTGCAAATGTTTTCAACTTTGAGGACATCCAGTTTATCAATTTTTTTTTCTGTTGCAGAGTGTACTTTTGGGCATCAAGTGTAACAACTTTTTGGCTACCCTAAGTCATGTGTATTTTCTCCTGTGTGCTTACCCTACATTTTATAGCTTTACATGTTTGTATTAAGTACAGGATTTCTGTGACTATCTGTTGGTGTCGGTGGTTTTTGCTTTGCCTTAGGTTTTATGTTTGTTTTGTTTTATCTATAGATGTTCAATTACTATAACACTAATTACTGAAAATCTTTTGTACAATATCATATGATTTTCACTGGTTAAAATTGCCTGTGTAGATCTGTTTTATCTTAATAATCAGATATTTGGATTATAACCAGATGGGTGTTATCTAAATTGCGTCCCTAAAAAGGCTCAAAGCAGCAGAGACCATGGTAGGAGCAGATTCAACTCTTGTGCTTTGGCGACTTCCTCTGGTGCTGCTTTTACATTTTATGCATTTGGGGATCTGACAGGTAACTGGATACAAAGTCCTCCTTGCTAGAACAAGTTTCCAGACCTGTGAATTTGATAATATCTGAAGTCTCTTTTTGCACCAGTTTGCTGTGATCCTAAATTGTCTGGGTCAGAATTCACTTTTCCCACTGCCCAAAGTTATAGCACTGATAAGTATGAAGTAGAAGACTGAGAGAAAAGCTCACATATTAATACCTGGTCCAATTATTTTCCATCTCTACATTATAATAGATAAATATGAGAGAATTTTCTAAACGATGGCTTACCACAGCCTTTTAACCTGTACAATGGGATAATAACATAAACTGAAAAAGTTGTGGGGGTTATTTTGTAAGTTTGTAGTGTTAATTGAGCTAATACATTTTAAAAAAAAATGATACATTTGAAAGTACTTCATGTTCAAAGTTTGATTATTTTTTAAGCATTCTTTTTTTGGGGTACTGGGGATCAAACTCATGGCTGCGCACTTGTAAGGCAGGCGCTTATGCCACTGAGCTAAATCCTGAACCCATTTGGTTATTTTTATATGCATGACTACACTAGGTCTCAAATTCCAGTAGACAGCTGTGTGTGTTTTTGATTCCAATTCATGGGAAATACATTTGTCTGTATCACATGTATTACCTATTTTTCCTTTTATTCATGAGGCCAAATTGTGAGCTGCCATATTACTATGACTTAGACATCTTTGAGAGGGTAGTTAGAGTTAATGCTTTCCATAAAGTTGTTTTAATAGTTATTTTTCAACAGATGGACAGCTTACATTTGGCCACGTTTCTGTGACAGTGTGATGATTGAAGTTTTTCAACAGATGGCCTACAAATACTTGGGAAAACACCCTTCCATTATAAAATGTTGCAAAAAAGACTTTTAGAGTGCCAGAAAAATAAGTCTGAATTCCCAAGTCCTTAGCCTGTGCTATTATAATCATCATTTAGATAATTTGAAAGATCCCATTCCTGGCACTTGGATTTATTTTGTAAATGAGCATGCATATCTGCATTAGAGTGCAATGACGAGGAATACCCTGTGGTCAATTAGAGATTCAGCATGCATACAGCATTAAATCTTGTTTTGATTGTGGGTAGATGTATGTAAAGTTTTCTGGCTGAATTATTCTACTTCTATTCCATATGCAGAAAGTGTAATCTCATATAAAAATTAACTGTTGAAAACTTATATGTTCTTTCTGAACAGTGTTGATTTAGGAGAGAAAAAGAATCTCACCAGCTTAGAGTGTTCCAGCATACTCATCCATATGATGAGTTGCCCCAACTTCTAAGTTGTCCTACTTCTACTAGTGGCAATGGCCATCTTGAAATATTTCTGGAACCAGTAAGTGAGGAATCAGAAAATAAATGAGGTAGAAAGGGAAATGGTGGAAATCTAAGGTGGCATTTGTGATTGTTACCATGACAAAGATAATCTTCTGATGTTTAGTGGATGGAAGCCAGTATACTTAGACATGCCACAATACACAGCACATTTTTGGGCAAAGGAGAAATGCCCCATATCCTACATTTGCCTGAATAGCTGGCTGGACATCCATCTGTGCTTGGAATCTATCCCTGTTCAAAATTAAACCATGAAGTAAGTTTTGTAATACAAAATACTTTTTTGAATAATCTAAAAAATCTTAACATTCACACCATATAGCATCTATCCACACCCTACTCCTTGATTTTACCAAGTAGCATATAAAAAGCTGAGAGACTTCGGAGCTTATGTTCTTGAATCCTGGTATTTTTATGTTAATTAAGTGTAAGTATATAGAAACATCTTTTAATGAGACCTATACTGAACATTTATGTAATAAAACAGAGAAGTCTAATATATTTACTTCCCTTTCATTCTCTCTCTATTATAAAGAGGATATATTTTAATTCTTAATAGTTTTTAAATGTTAGGTATAAGCTATATTAACCATGAATTTGGGGATTTAAATGATTATTGAATTTTTGATCTACTGAAAATTATCAGGAGGAGAAAAGCACTTGTACAGAAAATTAATCAAGAGAAAACAAATCTGTTCCTGATTTATCTATTTGGAATCTTTCAAAGAAAAGCCTTAAGTATTTAATATTTAAGACATGAGGAAGAAGTAAGGCATGAGTCTTAAGTATTTAATGTGAAAGACAGTCTCCATCAAGTCTGTAACCCTCTGATTCTGTGTCAGTCTTACTAAGTGAACTGACAGACCCACAAGCTTTAGTACTACATACTTGCCCTGGTAGCAGAAACCCAAATAATAAATAAAAAGCAAAATAAAAGATAATAAGAAATAGGGACTTAGATCCTTCTCAAAGAGCAAAGGGATCAAGAGATGGGGAGGGCCCGGGATTTAACTGTGCGACACAGGCATCTACCTAGCAAGCACAAGACCATGAGTTCAATCCCTGGCACAAAGAGACAGAGGGAATGAGAGAAAGGAGAGAGAAAGAGGATGAAAAAGGAATTTAGATGTGTATACCTACTAGCTCTGCACGGGAAGCTAAATATTATGTGCTGATAAAGAAAATGATCTGAGAAACACTGATTCTCTTACGGCCAGTGGTATCTGCTAGTCGACTTTGTGTCTGTCATTGCAGATGGCACTTAATGACTGCTTCAGTTTGACCTACCCAGGAAACCCCCACCCGGGAGACTTGATTGAAGTGTTTCGTCCTGGTTATCAGCATTGGGCTTTGTACTTGGGTGATGGTTACGTTATCAACATAGCTCCTACAGGTAAGGCTTGTTACCAGTTGCTCCTGGAAGCTTTTAGTTTTCTCAAAATAAGAAATAGTGAACAAAATACAACAAAAATAAAATGTGCATAGTAGATATAGCCAGTGAATCTAGGTTCGGGGAAGGACTTAAGACCGAAGTGTCATTGAAGAAATCACAAAGATCAATCAGTGTTAAAAATCACAATTAAAATTAAATATAATTTCCAGCTGGAGAAGATCTTTTGATGTCCCATTAGGTCTTACAATAGATTATTAACATTCAACCCTTGCCGATAGATTACTTAGGATGTATTGAATGCTATTCTATGGATTCATAGAGATTTCCTTGCATAATTCAGCTTATATTGTAATATAGAGAGAGAACCAAGAACAAATTATCGAAGTGAATGTTAAAAGGGAGATAAGCAGTGTGGTAAAAAACAAATCACCTTGTCTTTCTGCCATGATGTTCCTGCCCTATAGTCAGCCAACCATGGACCCATTTGAAACTGAAGGTCACAACAAACTTTTCTTCCTTTAAATGGGGGTATCTGGTATTTTTTCAACAACAGGAAAGCTTTCCAATACAGAAAATTGGTACTAGACAAGTAAATGTGCCTATATCTGTGTGTTCACAAGCCTTGGGAACTGACTCATGGACAATTTGGAAGAGTTTAGAGAAAGCTTCAAAGGTTGTAAGCAGAGCTTGAGAGGCACTCTCCTTAACATTAAGTGTTCAGTAAAAATTCAAAAGAAAGTAACTTTTGAGAAAAAAAGTCTCGCGTATTTTATTTCTGCAGTTTTTTCTGCAGTTTTTACATCTGGAAAATAGTGCTATCTTCCTAGTTTCCACTGTGACACTTCATGTTCATACTTCCGTCTTAGGCTTTGTATGAGTGTGCTTCAAGTTCTGAGTTTCGAGCCTGCAGATGGAAATTCCTTTCTATTGTTATCCACTGTGATATTTTTCTTTTTTTTTTTTATTTAAAGAAAAGGAAACGAAAAAAAAATACATGGAGATTTAAAAAAAAGGGTAGAAATAATACTAAATTACAGACAAACAAAAGGTAAGAAATTGCCAGTTGATAAGTTACAAATTGTCATCTTCGAAATGGCTGTTCAGGTTATAGAATTAAAGTATTTAGAATGACATTCAAAAAAGTGACCCTACAAACCATTCTGCTCTATGGCCGAACGAAAGCTCCGTAATATGATTATCAGTCCCACCTATTTGTTTTACATCTCTAAGAGGATAAGGTTAACCATATCAAAACAGAACAGAACATTTTAAAAAAAAATAAAAAACAATTTAAAGAAATACAGATTTCAAAGCAAGTCCACTGGAGATCTACCTTATCTAACTGTCTCTAGCTTCTTACAAATAGTTGTCCCTAACTTCACCCACTTTCTATACTTATTGCATATTATAGAACTAATCAAATCATTACAGGATGATGGAGTCTTTTTAGGTCCTCAAGTTCCAAATTAGGGAAGACAATAGCAACTACCATCGCATCTCTCATTCTCTTTGAGATAGCCGTCCCCATCTCTGCATATGCTGAAGTTGAGCTGAAGAAACCAGTCCAGAGTCATTTTAATCAGCAAGCAATAGATTGCTAGAATTTATATTATAATGCTACAAAATAAGCCTCGGGTTTTTCAGGTCTCTTCCTCAGAGTATTTGTTCCTATCCTCTCTGTATTATAGGGAAAAGCAAGTCATAACAAGACAGCGAAACAATTTCCTAGATAAACATGCAATGGATAAGACTTATAAAACTATAATATAAATGATCTTCCGTAGCTACTATGTTTTCTCTTGTTATTTTCAATAGATTTGTCGACAACACTGGCTTATTATAGTTAAACATACTATCACCTATTTTTATAAAAACTTATCTTTGACTGCATTGTAGTATTTGAGAGCTGTTACTGATTCATACCAGTATGGATATCCTTTACATCTTGTCATGCTCAGAGTAGTTTCCTCTACTTTTAGGGTTGATTCTAACACGCATACCGATTTCAAATAGGATCAGTCAAGGCCAACCAATAGTCTTATGATTCAGATACAATTAAGATCAGTCATAGTAAGACAATGTAAGTAATACAGGATTTCACCTAAGTCAATAGGAAAGTAAGGATAGTTACCATGGTATAACCTGCTATTTTTGGTTCTAGAGGTCTGTGTCCTCAAATCTGATATGAGTGGACAGACCAGAACAAATTTAATTCAATCTAAATATGGCACTAGGACTACTGTGTCTTTTAAATCGTTATACACCATTAGCAATGAGCTCTGCTTTTTTTTTTAAAATATAGTTTCAGAGCTGTCTCTACTAAAGACTAGCTTACCATCTCTGCCTCATGTCTGCTACTCCACTTTTCTGCTATAATTTGTCCACCTTATTTCCTCATTTCATGGTCTGCCCCGTTCACTGAGGCCTCTCTGCCACTGTAGCTGTAATCCTGATATCTCTTCCTCTCTTTCTCTGTAATGTCCTTCAGCGCTCTCTGTAGGGTTGGATTGGTGGCCACGAACTCCCACAGTTCCTCCTTGTCTTGAAAGTATCTTATTTCTTCATTAATTTTTAGAGAGAGTTTTGACGGATATATGAACTTAGGTTGCATATTTTTTTCCTTCAGGACTTGGAATATTTCTCCCCACTCCCTTCTTGACTTAAGAGTTTGTGTTGATAAGTCTGCTGTTATTTTGATAGATTTCCCGTTATAGGTAACCTGCATCTTTTCTCTGGCTGCTTTTAATATTCTGTTTTTTTGGTGGATTTCTGGGATCTCAATTATTATATGCCTAGGCGTAGATCTGTTTTGGTTGTAGGTAGCTGGCGTTCTGTATGCTTCTTTTATCTGGATATCATTTCTTTTTGCTATACGTGGGAAATTTTGCTTTAATATCTCTGTGAATATTTTTTGTATTTCATTTTTGGATGTTCCTGCTTCCTCACTCACATTCTTTATTCTTAGGTTATGTATCTTTTTATCATCTTCCAGTTTTAGAATTGCTTCTTTCTGGTTCCTTGTTATTTTTAAGAGGCTTTTTCTTTCACGTTCATAAGCCCTAAATCTCTCTTCAAGTTTCAGAAGGTTGTCTTTAGTTTCTGTCAAGGCATTTTGCCAATATTCAATGGAGTTTTTAGTTTCCTGATATTCTCTTTGGATCTGTTTCATGTATTCTAAGTTATGCTTAAATTCTTCTTCAGATGCTTCTCTTTCTTTTCTGATTTCCTCAGTTCTTCCATCTGTGTTCTCTTGGGCGGGGCTTGTCATTTCTTTAATTAATCTCTTTATATCTTGCCTCACTTGGATCAGGAGTACATCTTTAAATTCCTCTATGAGATCATGTAAGTACTTTTTAATTTCGGCTGATGCTGTGTCGAGTAGAGGATGGTTACTGTGTTTGTTCTCTTCAGTGTTTAGTTCTCTTGGGTTTAATTTCTCCTGTTGAACAGCTGGAGATTTTTTTTTATTTTTATCTCTTGTCATGTTTCTGGTTTCTTTCAGACTGTCCTGGAGTTCTCTGGCCCTCTCCGAATTGCTTAGGGCCTTTCAGAAGCGTGCTGGCTTGAGTTTTTGCTGTCCTCCCCAATTTGCTATTATCTGGGGTAGGCTGGGATGTAGGGGCGATACAGTCTAGTCTCTAGCCTCTGTGTCAGTTAGTTCATAAATTAGGCTGTACTTTCTGGTTGTCACTGAGTTGTGACTATTTTGTATCTGCTTATTGGGCCCCAAGCAGAGGCTTGGTTTAGCCCCAGTAGCTCCTGCCAGTTCTCTTTGAATCAGAAGCAGCTGAGTAATGGCACAGGATTCTGCCCAGGTCCCAGCCGTTCTCTTCCAAACCTCTCTGTGATAGGAGCACCAGAAAAGCAGATCTGCCCAAAACCAAGATGGCTCCCACTAAGTTCTCTGTGTGGAGCTGAAGCCAGCAAGTAATCAGGCTCTGCCAGGACTCAAGATGTCTTCCACCAGCCCTCCCTACAGGGGGACCTGGTGATGTCACCAAGCTGCGGTTTCTGCCGCCAGGCTAATATGTCTGCACCAGACTCTGTGTTATTGATTTCCCCGTGGTGGCGGGCCAGCTGTTCTCTGGCCAAACCCAGCAGCCGCGGGGTTTTCTGTACTCACCAGAGTCCGGTGCAAGTCCTCGTTCCAGGACCGCCGCACACCAAGCTGTCCACTTTTCCCCCACTCGCGGCTCAGCGCTGACCGGTCAGATTTCTGTGCACCGTTTAGATTTGAAACGCCAGAGCTTTGTACATCCGCTCTGGTGCAGCGGTGCAGAACTGGCTGCTACTTGGAGTCTCGATCTGGGTCTCAGTTTCCCGCAGTCCCCAAAAGCAACTCAGCTTTTCGTGTTGGGTCCACGAGTCTGTTTGTTGATTTAAGGGCGTGGGATTTGCAGCCTCTGGTCTCAGCACAACTTTAAATCCTCCAGCTGTACTGTCTTGGTTAATAAGAATCGCTATCGATTTGTCTGGTCCTCTCCATGCTGTCTTTTTTTTAGCTTTGAGTTTGAATTCTCTGGAGAGACTCTTCGCTCGATCCCCTAGCTCGCCACCATTTTCACAATTCCCCACTGTGATATTTTTCAAGCCGGTTTACCTCTCTAGTCAGTTCTTTCATTTTTCCACTGAGTTTTAAAATAATTTTTAAAAGGTTTAGCAATTGAACTAGCACAGTTACGCATGAAAGGTATAAGAGCTTCTCATGTGTAATGTTAACTAGAAAATGCTACTCCACTGGGAAAGATGGTGGACCAAAGAGTAATACAAACATTAGCTGCTAATTGTTACTGTTTTAAAGCTTGGGTGGCCCCTGTAAGCTTGTGTTTGGCAGATGATTGGATCTACGACACTGTCCTCATCAGTGGGATTGTCCCCTGATGAATCCATAACTGAATGTCAGGAAGTTGGACATGGTTGGAGGTAGGTCCTGGAGGTGTGACCTGGAAGGGTTTATCTCCCTCTTCCATCCCTGTTTCCTGGCCACCATGACATGAGCAGCTTTCTGCACAGACCCTCCACCATGCTGCCTCTACTTTGGAGTCAGATGACTGTGGACTGAACACATGGGCCCAAATGAACCTCTCCAAGTTGTAGCTGGTGGATAGTGTGCTCCGTTGACAACAGTGACTAAGACAGTTGCTAAAAGAAAAATGTTTTAAAATGCTGGTTATGTAATGACTTTTCTTCTCATGAGTCACCTGACCCTGAGATGCTTTTGTGCATCTTTGTCAGATGCTGAGAAAGAACTGTACCACAGAAAAAGTGGACAGTGATCCAGGTAAGGGGTTCTCACCCAATTTATTCCATGAGACAGTAACAAACTCTTAGAGTTTTTCTTTATCCACACTTATACATTGTTAGCAGTACTGCTAATTTCTAGAGTGAATATTTATGGTTGTTGAGATCAAATGGGCTTTGTTGTGAGTATACCTGAAGACCAGAGCTAGGTCTGATCATCCCAGCATCTCGGAAGTGTTTCAGTAGGACACTAACGCTGGCTGACCTGAGCTCTCCTCACAGATGGCAATCCTTCGACATTCACAAGCGCCAAGTCTGTGTTCAGCACCAAGGCCCTGGTGAAGATGCAGCTGTTGAAGGATGTTGTGGGAAATGACACATACAGAATAAACAACAAATATGATGACACGTTCACCCCTCTCCCCGTGGAGGAAGTCATTCAGCGGTCAGAGTTTGTCATAGGACAGGAGGTGTCGTATGACATCCTGGACAACAACTGTGAGCATTTTGTGACTTTGCTTCGCTACGGAGAAGGCGTCTCGGAACAGGTGAGCTAACTTTAGGGGACACAAAGTTATCCTCTTAACCTTGAGGATAATGTAACAAATGAAAATAACAGGAAAATACGAAAAACTGGGGGACAGAGAAGGAAACTGAGTTGTTCAAGGTTGTAAAGAAAGTGACTGGCCAGTGTAGATACAATGAATTTGGAACTAGAAATTCACATTGGGGATTTGAAATAGAATCAAGGCCCCGCTTCCTGGCAGTTTTACTGTCTTCTGTTCCTCAAAACTTTCTCGTTACCTTGCCGTGCTGCAAACTCAAATCAATAACTTTGTTGTTGGTACTGAATAAGCCAAAAAGAACATTGGCTTTTTTGAGTGGAAGTTCATTTGCCAGTCACACAGATTGTCAACTTGATATTCTTTTCCAGTGGTGGACAGAAGTCAAACGATATACCCTGGTGAGTTATAAGTATTTTCGCTTTCCTTGCAGTAAAAAGTTTTCAGTGCAATGTTGTGTTTTTAAATAAATCCTTTGATTCATTGTACTTTTAGGTGACTTCCAGCGGATTGACTTCATAGTACATTGCAATTTGTACAGTTCCCACCATCATTTCCCACTAGACCACATTTCTACTGACCCCATGCTTACTTCACTTGCCCGAACCCTACTTTATCATTTCACCAACCCACGTCTATTGTTGACGTCTTAAACTGAAGATTTGTTAAAATGATATAAAAGAATGACTATAAAGCTACTATCAGAGGAAATTTCCTTCATCCAAAATACATGGAAAATGTTAATTTTTAAAATTAAAATATCAGGGGCTGGGGATTTAGCTCAGCGGCATAAGCGCCTGCCTTGCAAGCAGGCAGTCGTGAGTTCAATCCCTGGTACCAATAAAAACGAAAAAGACCAATAAAAAAAATTAAAATATCAAAAGTCATTTAATACCTAATAAATTTAATAGATTTGCTACCCTATAAATACTTTCTGAAGATTAAAAATTAGGAGACTCATACCATGAAAATTTTAGTCATATTTAAAAAGAACAAATTTATTAAGGCTTCTAGTATTTTGAAATGTGGATCTACTATAAAAACTTGTAGTCTGGGAAATGAGGGTCAGTGCTTCTCAAAAAATCTTGAGAACGTGGGAGGTAAAGCGCAATGAAAGAAATGACACATTTGTTATCATTAGGAGATAATTGAACTGGAAATTCATTGTCATTAAGAGACACATTAATATGATGAATGTTTCATTCACACAAACGGTAAGTTGCTGTTGAACTGGAACACAGGGGCTACACAATTCCTCCTAAAAACCCATGATACATCTGGGACACGGGCCCTGCCCCACTTGTTTTTAATGATAAAGTTGCTCACTGCACCTGGAAGTGACTTACCTATTTATTTAAGGATTCATAAAATGGCGGTGTATTGATCAGAATGTACAAACTTGAGTTATACAAGATACAACCAGTTTGGAGATCTAGCATGTTATCAGTACTGTGGTACATACTTTAAATTTTGCTCTAAGAATGTATGTTAGGTGAAGTGTTCTTAACACACAAGGAAAAAAAGAAAGCACAGAAAATAAAACAAGATTGCTACAAAAACCAAAAAAGATGGTGGGAGAAAACTTTTGGAGGTGACAAATAGGTTTCTGAACAATTATTGTGATGACCACTGTGTGGTGTGTGCCTATCTCCAAAAACACCAAGTTGTATACACTAAAGATCTATAGCTTTTTGCATCTTAATCAGACTTCAATAAAGTAAGAATGTGCTAAATAAAAATGGATTCCAATTATCTTTTTACTTTAACTTTAACTTGTAATTCATTATCTTTCACCTTAAATACCCAGACCCATGAAAAAACAATTATTCCTCTATACAAGGTAGAAATTGTCCCCAGCAGCTCCTGATGATGAAGATGCTGTGACAGCCTTGTGAACCCACCTAAGCTCTAGCATTCTGTTGACTGGAGTGACCTCATCTTCACTATTTACCAGCTGAGTGACCTTGGGCACACTATTTGTCTGTGTTCCACTATGTACCCTGAGGTTGCTTTAAAGGTCAGAAGATATCTGAGGTCTCCATTAGCTAGTGCATTGTGATTTCTTCATCTTCATATGCAAGCATGCCTCCAATAGATACTATTTTCAATTACAGTATTTCAGGAATTTTATGAATCTTCATTAGGCTCAATAAAAATAAAAGAAACAATATAACCAGGGTTATTTATCAGTAAAATAATATGTTGATACTAATTAATAGTTAGTTTTAAATTCTTTCATTTTGGGGTTCCCTTAGGGGTTTGGGAAATTAGGCTCAAAAATGCTTCCTTGAGAAATGACCACGTAGTTCTCCAATTTAAGAAGTTGTAAATACATAAAATTGATTAGGAGGATAGAAAGTATTTGATCCCATCTTTTAATTTCTTAGTACTTTTCTGTATTTTTAGAAATTAGAAGAACTTCTAGAGCAAGTTTTAGGATCAGAGCAAAATGGAACAGATAGTTTGGAACAAAATGGAACAGAAGTTTCCTCTCCTTCAAATAAACATATAACATCCTCTACCATCAAAATGTCTGTCTTCCATTGATGAACCAACTTTGGCAAAGCATGATGAAAGTCAATGGTTTTACATTATGATTCACTCTGTGTTGTACATTCTGTGAGTTTGGACAAATTTAAAATGATATATATTCACCATTATGGTATCATAGTTTCCAAGTACTAAACTTTTAGTCTCCACCTATTCATCCTTTCCTCACTCCATACCCTGACAACCACTGAATTCATTTTGGCTGCCTCTGTAGTTTAACCTCTTCTAGCATGTCACGTAGTTGGAATCAAGAAGCATGGTGCCTTTTGGGTGCTGTAACACTTTGCCTTCCCCCAGGCAATAAATGAGAGTTCTTGCTGGTCCAAATACTCTTGATGGTATTCTAGATACAAACTATTTTGATAGGCACATTGGAATATCTTATTGTTTTAGCTTAAAATTACTCAGTTACATGCATTATTTGGCATCTTTTTTTTATTTGTTCCCTGCATATCATCTTTAATGATTTTGTTTCTTGATTTTTTTCCTTTTTTTTAATTGCAATTTTCGTTTTCCTGTTGGGTTTTTTAGAGTTCTTTATATCTTGCAGATAACTGTCTTTTATTAGATTTGTTTTTTGTAAATGTTTTCTCCCAGTGTGTGGCTTAGTTTTTTCTGTACTTTTCAAAACAAAGAAAAACAATATTTCTTGCTGTTAGAGTACAAACAAGTTATTAAAATGCATCTAGGTTTGTATAGGATGGCAACAACTTTGGATATGCCTGAGCAAACCGATAGATGAATTTACCCTGTTGGTGCTCAGTGCACCAGTGCAGCCTTCAAGTCTCAGGAAAGACTTTTATAAACCCTACAGCTGTCTGTACACTGCCTCTTCCAGATTCAGCTACTATTTCACTGGGCATGAACAGAGCCTCTGAATGAAGCCTTTATTATGCTGTACCAACAGAAAGGCTTGCAAAAGTTAAAGAATGTAGAATCAGATTTGCTGACACTGTAATCCTAAGTAAGTCACCAAGTAAAAGCTGTGTATACCAGCTCACCAAGAACATCCTGGTGCATTACAGTCCTGCAGGCCAGATCTCATTACATGGAACTTGGAGGGACTGTCCCAGTTACATGGGATTATATGATCTAGAATGAAGCTTGAATGGAATGAGTAGCTGGGGGCTTGGGGACATGCAGTGATCCTCTGGAATGGTGTCTGCTCTGCAATTTCAAGTAATTTTGGCTTGGGACCAAGTTTTCCATCCCCTCCTCCCACACTTCTTCTATTTATGACATTTCTCTAACATCCTATTTTTCTAGAGGCTGAAAATTACCGTGTCAGCCTGGCGTCTATCTGGGCCACCACCTGTCCACACTATCCTGGCCACACCATCCTAAAACTCCCCAGGGCTGTACCTTGCTGGCATTTGACACTTCTGTGGAAAGACACCTACTGAATTGCAAGTTTTTCACTGCCTGCCCCATTTCCCTGTATCAGACCACTTGTGGATCTCAGCATCCGCCTGGAATTATATTAGGATTTGGCATAGTTTGAGATCCCCATCCCTACTCATTATCAACTTGGCTCCCTTTCGGAATTTTGTCCCCATCTTGCATATCTGTGCCTCTCTTTCTCTCCCCAAGATGCTTGTCGGTAGCTCTGTACTATCTCAAATTCTGATTTCTCTTGAGGAATAATTTAGGTAGTGGCTTAATTCAAATTAACACATTAACTAAATACAAAATTAAATGTATGAACTAAAGCAGGATTTGTCAGGGCTGAGGCCAGGTTGTTTGGCAGAACCATTCCACCCCCAGAAAACAGTGTTTGGAGCAGAGGCAGGCAGTCACAGTTTACTTCTTCCCTGCAGACTGCAGGATAGTGTAAGGCAGTGAATACACGCTGTACACAGAGAGCAAATACTCCTACCATGTGTCCATGTCCTGGTCCTGATTCTCCTGTCTTTTCCCACCAGGCAAGCAGCAGTTAGTGAGGCAGTCTCGTGTGTGTGGCAGGCTCCAGGGTGGAGGTCTGACATCCACAGAGGGTGTGCTCAGATGTGAGGCAGGTCAGGTCACCAGCTGTTGGATTGGTCCCCAGTCATTTGAGGAAAATGTTTCATTGTATTTGAAAACGCTGTTCCTTGAATCCCAGAGAATCAGTGTTATTTTTAAGAATACCTGATGATTCTGAAATGTCTGAGTGTGACCTTTGGGTCATACAACTGCATTCAAACCTGTGTGGTGGAAGGCAATATTAGTTGAATGCTGTGAAAACCATGAATATTCATCAGATCTCTCATCATGGTGATGCATCCCTTAAAGTTATAAATGTCTGAACTTCTTTATGGACAACTGAGCTCAAGAGTGTTTTATTTTATGTTGTCTGTATGAGAAATTAATTTGACATGATAGGTAACACCAGTAGTGACTTCCTGTAAAGTTTTGTTTATCAGAATGGAAATTGTGTCAACCAAATAAGAGTTTATGGGTATTAGGGTCAGATCACCTCCCTGAACTATAGACACACACACACACACACTGATCATCCTGGTATAGACCCAACCAAAGTGCACATTCAGAGACTAAGGGACACTCAGAAGGACAACATGGGCTGTAAGTTGAGAAGACTCATTTCACTTCTAACCATCTAAGAGGTAAATCCACCAGCAAATTCCTTCTAGGCTTCAAGTTTTGCAAAGCAGGAATCGTGCTGCCTCTCTCACTGATATCCTGTAATGAGTAAGACTGCAAAGCTATCACCTATTTTAAAAACCTGAGGGCTAGAAGCCTATGTGTATTTGTCGGTATCTTTCCTATAATTATAAAAATTATCATTAAGTTTCTTCATCTTCGTCCAAAATTTTGATTTGGTATTGAACTTTACATAATGACTCTATTAAGACAGGCCTTTAGTTTAAGAAACAAACTATAGTTCATTTAAGATCCTGGAATGCTTTAAAATAAGATGTGGTTTTTGCTTTTTATTTCCTTTTTAGGCCAACCGAGCAGTAAGTACTATTGGATTGGTGACAGCTGTGGTTAGTACCTTCTCATTTCTGGGCTTGTTTCCAAAAATACAAGGAGCAAAATTCCATTAACAATTTATCGAAGAGATATTGGAACTGAAGGAATATGCGAGGAAGAAAAAAAACTCTGAAATGAATACTTATTTTCAACGCATCATAATTGTTCCTTATTCTGATGATGGACGGCATGCTCTTTAATAAATTGCTTGCTGATATGCTCGTAGAGCCAAGGCCATTTTTTCCCCCTACTTGCATAGATTTTCCGGCAGCAACTTGAACAACAACAACAACAAAAGCAGTAGCCTTTTCAGTGAGCCGGCAGAGAATCTTAACAAAATCACATCGCATTTTCTCTTGTACCATAAATATTGTTTTTCTTCTCCCTAAGGGTAGTTATTTTGCTAAAGGAGTGGAGACCATTTACATATGATTTTGAAGGGAATGCTAAGAGCTCTGAATTGTTAAGAGTTGACACCTAAATTGATATTCCTTTACTTGTCAAAAAAGAAACTGAAATGGAACGTTCGATTAGACAACTTGAAATTTGCGAGTCACAGACCATGTGCAGGGTCCCCCATCGTCCTGCACCTGCATGGGGTAGGATGGCAGGGGAGGTGAGGAGGGAATTTGTGTCAAGAGTGGCAGATCTAGTGATTTTTTACTACCATTCCAGAGGAATTCTTGGTGGAAGCAGCAGGTAGAGACAAGTAAGGCTTAGTTCTCTTTGCATCAAGATCACATGGGGCACTAGGACATTACCCCATGGACCACACCACTGGCCAGTGACACCTTCTGTTCCATTAACAAATGCATGGAGTGAAATAAGGAAACATCCTAGTAAGTCTCGGAGCAGAGTGTGATGGGAGAAAGAGTATGTTAGAGAAAGTAAACCAAAGATTCCATGAAAGTCTTAGAGCTACTCAACTGATTTTACTGTGCAAGCTAATATCAGAGTTTAATATAACAGAAGGGGCTGTGTGCCATTGTTCTGGCTAATAGAAACCCCATCTCTCTTCCCTCCTTTTTTCTAAATAACCTTTTCCCCTTCTTATGACACTATCTCTGGATAATCCCCAACTCCTCTCTCCTTTCACTGGTCTTCCAGGAAAGAGTGAATGTGTCCTACCATGTAGTGAGATTCCAAATTTACCTTTTTCAAAACTTTATTTTTAAAAATCTCTTTTGTTTTTAATTCTAAATTGAGACCCTCGCTCTTCCCTTATACCCTGTTCCCAAGTAATAGTCAAACAATGAGCAGTTTCCTAGAACCCTTGAATTACAGTGGAGCCAACAGCAGCTCAATGTGTTGCCTTTCTCCAGGTGTTTTTTTTTTTAAAAGGTTTTACTATTAGCACATTAATTGGTATGCTTGCTTTTCAATAAAGAGTATCTACAGGGCAAATCTTAATTCCAGCCAAGGGAACTGGCTGTGGCCAATGACAGCACTGGTCAATGGGAGATTTCAGTGGAGTTAGGAACCAGAAACCTCCTATGGTGCTCAACCCTTAATAGAATTGTGAACGTTCCCATTCCAGAAGATGGTCACAGATGTGTTGGATAATGTCGCAGCACAGACTCCACAATCTGTCGAAAATCTGTTAAATGAGCAAAATTAAATATATTTTTCTAAGAAAGCCTGAAGCCTAGTAGGTAATTTTAAATGTCCAAGAGGAATAAACTTCCTCTTGTATTCACAGTGAGGAAGGCAAATAGATTAAAAATACAAGTGGATAGAATACTTGTAAAAGACAGCCCTTCCTATGATCTTCAATGTGTCTAAGATGATTTGGGTATTTAAAACATGAGACAGGTCACAAAGTTTTCTAGTAGCCGGGAATTTGCTTGCTATAGATACAAACATCGTGGGTTCTTTTCTCTGGCTTTTTTTGAAGATGAACAACATTCCATTCTGGCCAGTTTTTAAACTTAGAAGATTTTCATTTGTCAATAATAAAAAGTAAATTTAAAAAGCCATAGTTTCGAAAGTGAAAAGCACATTTTAACAGTTTATTTCATTACCTTTGTGAATTACTGTGGATTTTTTGCTCACTGGACTCAAAACAGTGTGCTTTGGGAAATGCCAGGCTTTGGTGTAGTTTGCAGTACATTAGCTCTGCCCATGCCAGGATTATTTGTAACTGATACAAACCTCTCCCATTCTCTACTTCCCCACAACGCTGGCTCACAATATAGGTAAGATTCAGTTTTCTGAAGTAAATGTTCTTATTTCTCTACTAGAAGCCTACTACAGCAGGAAAAGAAAGGGATTTAATGACCTTTTAAAAAGATGTGTACATAAATGTTCTTCTCAAACGTGTGTAAAATGTAAGGAAACTTGTGGCTTTTGATATATCAAATGCTTCCTTGATTTTCCTTTTTTTCACTGATGTTTATACTTCTAATTTCATCACAATGACAGCTATGCATTTTACATAACATAATATAAAGTTTATTAAAAACTATAGTCCACGGTATGCACATTTTCTTTTGATAGTAAAAGATAGAATTAACATAAATTCAAGGTCCTCTGCTGCAAGGTTCACTATGCTGAGAAATGTGTTTTGCGATGCTCAGAGGGAAAAAGAAGAGCTAAGGGTGTGCCAGTCTCATCTCTCCACAGCGCCCTAATTTGGAGGCAAAAAGTGTGAAACACACGCGACACCAATTCTGATTACAGTCTTGTCCAGAAGTGCTGTTCTGTGGTCTGGCCTCCCAATCTGAGTCTTTCTTTTAGGACCTGTTCAGGGCTTTCGTAGCCTCTGTTGATGTAGAATCCATTGTTGCTTTCACCTGAATACATTGTCCTGTCTGTGGGAGGCCAGGTGGCATCTTCGGCCAGCTTCCTTTGCCATTTCCTATATGAACTTTTCGAGTAGAACTCAAATTCTTTCTTGATCAAAAGCCAGAGCTCTCGGTTTTGCAGGATGACATCCTGGAAAATCAGATGGGAAACCATCAAACCCTCCTGCAGGTTCCCCTGCAACCAGGTGGCTCAGAGCAGCCTGTGTCCCCGGCTTCTTCTGAGAGACTCTCACTACTGCTGTAGCTGCCCTGCTCCTCCGTGGTGCCTCCGAATTCTTCCCGTAGGAAGCCATGGGCTGTGACTATTTGCGACAATCTGCCCAAAGCTTCCACCTTTTGCTTCCTACAGATTTCCTAGTTGAATCCTGGCTAGTGATTTACTTAGAATGCTTTTTCTGCCAGACTGAAATAACAATAATGTACTCAGTAAAAAGAAAAGAATAAAAACCCACAAGTCTGCTACTTGCCACCTGCCACATACAAGATGTCAAATAAATGTTTCTTGAATGGATGGATGGATTCTGGCAAGGAAATAGGTTTTGTTTTCAGTTTTTGAGTCTCCTTTTGTCTGCGTTCATATGCTTATGTAATTCTTACCCGTTTGTAATAATAGAATCTGTCCAATTTGTTTTCCACTTTTGTTCATATTAAACTCTCTGTCATGCACAATTTTTACACACCTATGAGATTTTTCAAAGTTTTGTGATAACAGTACAGTTACGGTCTTTGTGATGATTGTCTTATAGACTGAATAGCCTTTTTAAAATTGCTATGTATTTCAATACGGTACTTATGTTGAGTATTTCACTTTGCTGCCATTTATAATACTATGATGAATATCCTCCTACATGTAGGGTATTTTTTCCTGCTCCTTTGGGTTATTTTCTTTAAATACAGTCTCAAAATGGAATTTCTGAATTAAAGAGTATAATACATTTTATGCATATTGCATATGAAATATTTTAGATCTATATGTTAAGGTTAGACCGTTAATTTTTCCCTAAGGATTTATATAAGTCCTTGATTTTTTTTATCATGTCCTTATGGGTGGAATCATTCACTGACCCTGAGTAGGACAGGAATGTTGGCACAGCAGACCCCAGGTAAGAACTGGGGCATGAGAAGCCAGTCTTTCTCTCGTAATTGGGAAAGCTCCTGAAGACTATTCTTCACTCCAAAAGGTCTACTGAATTTGCTAGTTGCAAAGTCACCTGGTCTCACCTTTCTAGGCTATTGAGAACATTAGAGAAATACAATCCAGTGTCTTCATGGAAGTCAAAACTAGTGAATATGATGGTTTTGCTGTCCATGCAGAAGATAGCAGGAATGTGTTAAAGCAGCCCTCAAAAATTTTCAATCCATCTCCAGGTAATTTTTCTCCAAAGATAACTTGTAGTTTTTTTTTTTTTTTAACAAACCTTTACTAACCAACATTTGAGGAGAATCAGAACAGTTGCTCTAAAATGTGAGCATCTGTTGAGAATGAGGATTAGTATTGGCTTATCTCCCCCTCCCAGATAGTAAGAGCTGTACAGAAACTACTTACCTCTACAAAGAAGGCCACACAGAAATGGACAAGGGATGTCACCAGAATTGAAGCCCTCCATGATGTGACAGTTGGAATTAACTGTTGAGGGAGAAGTGCCACCATTACAGTTTTCATATCTTCCACCGTGGAATAGGTACATATTGATTATCTCATTGAGTTTATGTATTTTTAATAACTCTGTAAGTCTGGAGCATGGGCTTCCCTTTTCCACTTTACAGATGAGAAAACTAAAGGTCAATGCCTTGGCCAGGGACTGAGCCAAAGCCAAAAAGTAAATGGCAAACTAGAACCCAAATGAGAATGGATCCCTGCTCCCTCCACCTCCTGGAAGCCTTTGTAGAGAGCGTATCCTGAAGGGGACATGAGACAGAGGATACTTGGGGACTTACATTTCTCCATTCATTTTATCCTTTAAACATAGAAAAGGATTAAGATCAAATCATTCAACTGCTACTTTTATTGCTTCTACTTCTCCCAAAACAACATGGAATTCATTTTATTTTTCAGAAAAATTGAAATACGGGTAAAATCCAAGGGGGAAAAAGATACATGCTTATTTTTCCTTGACAGTAGGTATATATATTTCTGGCCCTAAACTTGATGGCTTTAGGAAAATCTAACTCCCTCTTTAAAAATTAAAGGGCACAGTACATATATATTAATCCCAAATGCCCTCATTTAAAAGATGTGTGAGCCTCAGCTTTGGATGGCTGCATTCATATTGGAAGGGTAGTTACCTGGATGCATTTCTGATCCCATAGAGTGAAAGCATATGGGAGACAGCTGTGGGGCTCAACTCTCTTGACACCTGTAACCACAGAGCCCTCAGTAGTGTCCAAATGCTCCAGCTTAACTTATCATCCTGACCTATTGTGGCTTATTTCAAGTTAACATTAAATCATCTTTCCCTAAGTGGAAATACCCATTTTCAGAGTCATAAAATAACAGCTCCCTAGACGGAAGGTTGTCTGGAGAAGGTGGACGAGATCCCAGTGGAAAGCCTGGTGCACTAAAATGTCACTGCTGCCACCACACTGGAGGGCTCTTCTGCAACCTTTGGCTTGAAAGGTGATTCACTGGCATTGTTTACTGTCACCCTGGTCTCCCCTCTTCTCTCCTGAACTACTTGAGATCAGCGACCACATTGTGCTCATCTTTGTAACCCAGGTACCAAGTACACTGAAACTCCCTAATGTTTGGCAAATGAATAAAGATTTGAGTTTTCGTTCTCAAGCTGCTTTTGGTTTGGTGGCCTCTCTGCTGTCACCTATAGCCTTCCAGTCATTGTCTAATTGACCCATCTTAAATCCCCTTTAGACAAACTTGCAGTGATTTTCTGTGGCCCCCAAAGTCCAAACTTCTGGCTGCCTTGGTCTATCCATGCCTGCCTTTATTCTTCCATCCTGGTCGTCGTACACTGCAGCCCAATACTTCAATGCTAGTGAATCTCCTAGCTGTTCTGTGAAGCAGCCTTGCTTCTGATCACTGTTTCTGCCAGCTACATTCTTTACATTGGGAGGACAGAGACGATCCCTTGGCCCATCTCTGCTTATGCTGAGGTTGTCCTCTCAGCCTGCAGGAGCCCCATCTTCTACTCAGAAAAGTCCAGCCCATGCCTTTGGACCCCAAGCAAGGTGCAACCCCTCCTCAAGGCCCCCGTGCAGCCACAGTCCCCAATGTCAACTCCTGCCTGTTCCCTCCTAGTCCTAGCTTTCCACTGTCTTCAAGAACGGATGGCATCAACCGATCTTGTCATGGTTTCACCTCACTACCACTCACCTTCACAACAAATGTATAGCTTGGAATTCAGGAAACAGTCCTTCCCTTCCTTTTATATCTCCCACAATACTGGGTACAAGAATGGGGCCAAAAATTTCTTTATGAATTTAATTTTAACCTTGTATATCCTGGATCAAATGATGTTCACTGCCTTAAAATTCCACTAAAAGTCTACTTTCTCTGTCCTCCACATCTGCATTATTAAAGGACTTTAACTAAATGTCTTAAAAGTTAAACTTTGAGATCTACTGTATTCATCTATTAACTTTACCATACTAGCCTAACATGTCAAAATAAGGTATCTAAGCACAGTACTGCAGGTATCAGCATGATAAATGCACCTAAATAATGATAGCAATATGTAAGACATATGTAAGACTCAGAGATGTTATTTGCTTTTCTAGTTAATAGAAACACATTTAGTGGTCAGACATAATGCTAAGTTAATAAAGCAGACACCGTAGGCTAGTCACTGCATGGTTTCTGTAATACCAGAGATCCAAAATACAAATAGTTTAAAGAACAATATAAAAGTGAGATGATGGTGAACATGGCGGATAGATAACAGTAGCTACGGAGGCTCTCTGACATAGCCAGCTTAGATTCTAGGAATAGTGTGGTAAAGGGAGTCCTAAGCAGGGGGAGATATATCCTGCTGACCCAGGAACAAACTAAGCTGAGAGAAGCCAACTGGAAATGCAATCCTGATGCTACGACTGGAACAGCTAAAGTCTCAGCTCCGAAGCTGGAACCCACGCCTCTGGAAACCACAGCTTGAATTTCCTGCTGCTGCTACTGCATCTGAATTGGCACAGCAGGAATAGAGATGCCAAAGCTCTAAGAGCGGGAATCTGAAAACTGAATTGACAGCAGAGCTGGCGGGGAGCCCTGCATCGACCTGCAGTGAGTGAGAGGAACGGGGACCCTTCCATAGATAAGGAGGCTCCAATAGAGGACATTCTGGGATGGGGCAGACTAGCCAGAACAGGATGCTGCAGTGACTTCAGTCACATATTCCCCTCTCAAGCGGGATTGGTGGGGAGCACTTGACCTGGGTGACACTGCAGACTAAGACCCAGTAGGCTAGCCCAAACCAGGTCCCTGTGCCTGGCAGTGCACCCTAACGCAGTGAAGCCTTCAGCAGGTTGACTAACCTGGAGGGGCGGGCCCAGCATTGGCTGCCCTGGTCTGTGTCTCCCTAGTGCACTGCACTGGGCAGGAACACCTAGCTGGCATGATTCAGAGTGCTCAGTGCACTCTGCCCAAAGCCCAGACTGTTCAGACCCTCCAGGCTTCTGGGTGCAATGAAGTGGATAAGTGGGTTTGAGGCATCTACATCCTCCTCCCCATTCTGGCTGCGCTTGGAGAACTGTGGAGTTTCCAGCAAGTAGGTGGGCGCACACTATCCCTGGAGCCCAGCCTATTTGGGACTACTGCACCGCACCCTCTGGGTGCAGAGGAAGGGCTGGATGGATCTGGGGCGCCTGCATCCACCTCCCCGTGTGTCTGGAGGACTGTGGATATTTCAGCAAGCAGGCGAGCATCGCAGGTTCCAGAGGCCCCGAGGCCTGCAGTAAGTGCTCAGTGCACTCTGCCCCAAGCCCAAACTGTTCGGGACCCTCCAGGCTTCCGGGTGCAGGGAAGTGCATAAGTGGGTTTGAGGCATCTACATCTGCCTCCCCATTCTGGCTGCACTTGGAGAACTGTGGAGCTTCCAACAAGCATGTGGGCACACAGTGTCCCTGAAGCCCAGCTTCTCTGGAACTACGGACTTCTAAACAGGCAGAAGAGGGCCATTGGTTCTACAGGCCCAGTGGCTTGGGGTAACGGTGCCAGAGTCCCAGGAGCTGCGAACATATACGTGGATTTCCAACAGACCCTGAGGAAGCTTTCAAGTAACACTTGAAACACAGAAATGTAGGAAAATGACAAAACAAAAGATCAAATTACAACCTCAAACCTCCAGCCCATCTCAAGAAATCCTAGGAGTGATGTATACAGAAGAAAATGTATGCCATTCACCTCAAATATCGGACATAATAGCTACTGAAATTAACAAGCAACTCCAGGAAGCTTTAAGGGAATTCAAACTTGAAATAATCTCCCAGGTAAAAGGAGAAATGATAAAAAAAATGAAAGAGATTCTGAATATATCTAAAGAAAATACAGTTAAAAAATTGGAGGAACTAAACAAAAAGATAGAATCCCTAGATGAGGAATATAAGAAACAAACAATACATAATGCAGATGCACAGAGATATACACGAAATAAAAAACTCCACTGAAAGTTGTAAAAACCACCTCAATGAAAGTGAAGATAGAATTTCAGACTTTGAAGACAGGATTGCAGCTAGTGAACAGGAAAGGAAAGATCTTTTAAAAATAACAAGGAATCAGGAAATAACAATTCAACAACTGCAAGATGATGCAAAGAAAAATAACATAAGATTGATAGGGATTAATGAAAAAGGAGACAACATAAAGGATGTCAAGAGGATATTTAGAGAAGTAATAGCTGAAAATTTCCCAAGCATGAGATCAGAAACCGACATCAGGATCAGTGAAGTATATAGAACTCCAAATAGTCATAACCAAAATAAAACTACACCTAGACATATAATAATCACCATCCCAGAAATCCAACACAAGAATAGATTATTAAAAGCTGTCAGAGAGAAAAGACAGATCACCTATAAAGGAAAACCTATCAGAATCACAGCAGACTTCTCACCACAAACAATAAAGTCAAGAAGAGCATGGAGTGAAGTATTCCAGATCCTAAAGCAAAATGATTTCCAACCAAGACTGATATATCCTGCAAAACTATCATTCAAAATAGATGGTGCAATACGATACTTCCATGACAAAGAACAGCTGAAGAACTTCATGAACACCAAACCAACCCTGCAAAAAATATTGAAAGACAGTTTAGATACACAAAGGAAAAAACCACTAAGCAAAGCAAATAATTAAACAGAACCGAAAGATAAAGATGCAACAGCAGAGAGATAACATTCCTACAATTAACCAGCATTTAACAGTAATAACCATTAATGTAAATGGTCTCAATGCACCAATCAAAAGAAACAGACTAGCAGAATGGATCAAGAAACAAAATCCAACCATATGCTGTTTACAGGAAACCCATCTAACCCAGAAAGATACTCACAGACTGAAAGTCAAAGGATGGAAAACAATTCTTCATGCAGCAGGAGTAGCCATTCTGTTTGCAGACAACATGAGCTTTAAACCAACAATGACCATAAAGGACAAAGAAGGTCACTACATACTCATTAGGG